TCACGTTATCAGGAAAGTGTTGGTTCGCGGTCATAGTGACCAAGAAGATAACTGGGGGTTCAAACCTGGTATATACAATAGCGGAGAGAGATAAGGGCCTGATAATGATGCTTTACAGAGTCTTTTGTTGGCCTTGATCTACTGTATATACTACTCCAAATGTCATCAAAAAATAGATAAGTCAGTCTGACATCCAGTTGAGGGCATTACTACAGTGCTAGTGACTGCATCGGAATATGTAACATTCAGAGAAGTTGAGGACTGATTTGTGAATAGCTTTTTTGCTTCAAGATATGAAATGTTCTTTTCACATTTTATTTTCAAGATTTATGATCTATTTCATTTAGACGCCTCTTCTTTTCAATTCGAGTTGAACCAGCTTGTATTTGAGACATGGTGAAAGGAAAAAGATTCAGCACCCCTGCTCCCCACCCACCATGGGTGTCAACAAGGACGATGTCAATATGCACCGGATATCCAAGATGCTTACACCAGGGATACAAGGGTGGTATACTCCAGAGAATAAGACTTGAATAGCTGCATTTATCTACCAATTTAATGCCAGACTGGTTCGGCCCTTGACGAAACATTGGAGACATACATCATTCAGAGGTCAACATCACCAGATTGGACCATGAGCCACCGCCTTCTGGCATAGGACTCTAGGCAAGTTAATATAATCAATAAGTTTTGGACAATAGTTCAAAATACCCATGACCCAATGATAATTTGAATGTGCAAATATAATCACCATGCATAGGGCTTGGCGTGACCAGCCGATTGATAGAACCGGGCCAGTTCTACCACCCGTCTAGGTGAAGTAAGGGCCGAAGTGATGTGTTGGGCAAAAGGAACACGGTTCCAGGCTCCCAGTGCCCTCAACCACCAGACTCCCGTCCTCCACCGACACAGGGGCGCAACCCACGACAAACGGGTTGGTGGACCAAATATACCCCGGGTCCACAACGGGGGGTTGAAGAGCAGTTAGCGTTACCCAGCACCCACCACTAGGAGGTGGCTCTTCACGGGTGCCTTACATACACTGTAGGTTTTATAGATAAGGTAGGTCTGTACATACACTGTAGATTTTATAGATAAAGTAGGTTTGTACATACACTGTAGGATGTATAGATAATGTAGGTTTGTGCATACACTGTAGGTTTTATAGATAATGTAGGTTTGTATATACACTGTAGGTTTTATAGATAATGTAGGTCTGTACATACACTGTAGGTTTTATAGATAAAGTAGGTCTGTACAAACACTGTAGGTTTTATAGATAATGTAGGTTTGTACATACACTGTCGGTTTTATAGATAATGTAGGTCTGTACATACACTGCAGGTTTTATAGATAAGGTAGATCTGTACATACACTGTAGGTTTTATAGATAATGTAGATCTGTACATACACTGTAGGTTTTATAGATAAGGTAGAGCTGTACATACACTGTAGGTTTTATAGATAAGGTAGGTCTGTACATACACTGTAGGTTTTACAGATAATGTAGGTCTCTACACTATAGATAAGGCAGGGCTATACTTACTGGGTAGGTTTTGTAGATATGGTTCGTTTGTAGTGGAGTATCTAAACCGATAATTTGTGCTTTTAATGATTAAACTGTGGACACTTATTGACTGATGCTTAGTGAACATTTTTAGAAATGGAGGCACTCAAAAAAAAATCATTTTGCGCATGCGCAGGATGCTTTGTTTGTTGTTGGAATATGGAAGCGGTATGTAAATAATCGACTCTAGACCAGACAATCAAGTGATCGACAGCATGAGCATTGATCTACGCAGCGGGGATACGATGACATATGTCAACCAAGTCTGCGAGCCTCACCACCCGATCCTGTTGTCTAACCCGAATCTTCATGGGTCTAAAATTTCACATCAGCCTCCCACACAGCCTCCCACACAAACGAGCCGAAGGAAGGAAACGGGCTGTATCACAAGAACACCAAGACATGTGCACATGACACCAGTGCTCAGAGACCTCCACTGGTTGCCAGTACAAGCTAGAATAGAGTTCAAGCTTCTCTGTATCATCTATCGATGCCTCCATAACACCAGCCCTGACTCTCTATCTGAATTCTTGACTCCACACACTCCAGCACGGAAACTCCGATCAAGTGACCAAAATCTCCTCCAAGTTCCTAAATATCGACTGAAGACATTTGGCTCCAGATCCTTCTCCAGCACTGCCCCTATCCTCTGGAACTCACTTCCATCAGAGTTGAAACTGTGTCCAACCTTTGAGAAATTCAAATCAAGACTAAAGACCCATATGTTCTCCAAGTATCATAGTGACATTTAAATCCAGTCAACACTCCCTGACTTTTATCTTTATACAATACCCTTGTAGCGCCTTGAGCAGGCATATCTGTCCTGGATTGCACGCATTATAAATGCACATTTATTATTATTTATTTATTATTTATTCGCTGTAAGAGGGTGTGGAGTACTTGAAGCAAGTCACCGAGGACGACCATCCGACAACCGCGACATCCTCTACGACAGCCATGGATTCCTGAAGACCATTTCAAACTGGCTTGCAGAAGGTAAATACTACTTTGCCATTTCTCGTTACAGTTATAGCTTTGTAAAGTCCATCAACGTGTTACAGGGGAATTTTATCCAAATAATAACTACCCACATATTCTGGTTAAATGTCTAGAGAGTCCAATGCATTAAAGCGTGGATTGTTTGCTCTTGCCCATGTTGTTACCCCTTTCGGCAGCCACTAGAGACCACCTCCTGACAAGACGTTGATGCGTAGTGAAGTGTCGTCCATTAGGGAACACATTTACCACTTTACTGCTATATCCAGAGTTAGGGCGGCGGAAGAAGTGACCTACCTCATATGTAATTTTGGTTTTTAAAGCATATGCACCAACATGTGTTTTCGTTCTCATCTTAAAAAAGTGGATAATTGCATGTTTAATGCTCATGGATATATTTCATTATTGCCCTGAGCATGAAGTCTAAATTCAGTATGGTAACTTATCATTTGTAGTATAACTGCCACGGGTCTGTAAGCAAAGAAGACCATTGTCACCACGAGTTTTCAATTTCTAATAAAATATTTTATGAACATAAACTCAGTGTATTGTCATCAACCATACTAGAAACCAAAAAATCTTAATTGTTCTGAAAAGGTATTTTCCGAAGGAAACATATAGAAAGTATCTAATCTGACATTTCTAAAATCGAATCAGGCACAACTGTTTTAAAAAAAAAATGTTTTAAAGTGCGGATTAATGATGTTTGATCGAATAAAATAACGATGACATAATGACTGCTCCATTGCGAGAGACACATCGGGATTATCTGCCACATTGGTATGTTTTACTCAGCTTTCAGCAATATTCCAACAGTATCACTGTGGGGAACACCTGAAATGGGCTTCACACATTGTACCCATGTGGGTATTGAACCTGGGTCTTTGACGACGACTCAACGCTTTAATCAATAAGTCTATCCCACCGCTCCTCAATCAGTGTAGTGAGAAGAGAGCCGTGCAGCTTTTACTGCTAATACTTCGGTTACATAACATTGGAACGTTAACCATAAAATATGGTCAACTATGGGTGAGTGAGTTAATAGTTAGCGTCACATAGGCCATATTTCAAAAGTACTTGAGTAGCACAGATTTTGACTTAAAACTAGCTTGTTACAATAAAAAGATGTCACTATAAAGAACAATACATTATATACATATTCGGTACATCACCAGTAACTCACTGCAGATCATACCAGAGACCATTCCGACTTCCAGCATTGATGCTACCTGCATGGTGAGTGAGTTAAGATTTATCGTCACATCGGCAATATTTCAGCCATATCGTGACGAGAAAATTGTATAATTATAGTAAAGAACAATAAAGTTAGAAATTAAAAAACCTGTTGACGAAGAACAGTAAAACTACTAGTGTATCACATATATCCCTTTAAAACTAGCAATTAAATCTAAAATATTGGAACTATACATGACATTACAATATAAAAACAGGCTATAGATTGCCAACAACTGAAGGTAGATCACCAAACTAGGGATCATGGGGATTTACAGTACATTTGCTTCCTGCATGGACCCTGGTTGGATTTACATCACCCCTTCAGCCGCTGGCGATTGAAGTCAAATTTAGCCAAAATTAAAATGACAAGAATACTACATTTAAAACAGCTGGTAATATTTAAATTTCCTTTGAATGTTTCGTGACTTACGTACCCTCTCAGGAGGACAATAATTTACGCTACTTCAACCCCCGTTTGAGGGTACAGCCACTAACAATCTGAGTTACTAATTCAAACTTCCAATCATAAAATATTTATCTATTTACAAATCAGTTAACAAATCTATATCTTTTAAAAATGCAATAATTAAATGAGAACTTATATTACTAAAAAGACCCGCTACCTGCAACGGCCCGGGCTGGATTTATAGTATGCATTCCGGTGTTTGCGAGTTTTGCACAAATTAGCCATGCATTAAAAGAACGTATAAAAGAATATGTTACGATTAAAATCACGGTGAATAAAAACAAACTCTGGGGGGACAATTATTTAGAGGTTAACAAGTGGTTCTATAGTGTGGATGAAAATGCGGGCTTGCGGGCTTGTTTTGGAGATTTTGCGTGCGCTATCCAACAATATTAGGTAATGTAATTATATATAGCTACGAGTTTCAAAACGATGTACTTATATGTAACTTTTCAGTGAGTGAGTATAGTTTACGCCGCACTCAGCCATATTCCAGCTAAATGGCGGTCTGTAAATAATCGAGTCAGGACCAGTACCTTTTTAGGTCAAGGTTTAGTTATGAAACATAGATACATGTTTAGTCATGTGACACATAGATACATGTTTAGTCATGTGACACAATGATACATGTTTAGTCATGTGACACATAGATACATGTTCAGTCATGTGTCATATGATACATTGATACAATACTCCGTCCTAAGATACGAGGAAGAAAATGGGAATTCATTCACGTAACACTTTGACTCGTTTATTAAGAAAGTTGTAGAATTGACCGAACAGTCCCCAGTACCAAACCTAGCTTCCCTTTGGTGGAATATCCAGGTAGAATTAAGAAATGATTTCAATTCTAATGTGTAAGAAATTCTAGTCGGCATTTTTAACTAAACGTACCAACATATTTTCCGATTTCGTTGTTGAATCAGTTTCAGAATAACCTTGGGTAAATTCACATTTTTGAAGCAGTCCTGTGAAAAGTAACAACAGCTCCATCTTCACAAATGCTTCACCTATACATTTTCTCTTTCCTGCCGAAAAAGACATCAACTTGCTGCGAGAAACTTGGTCCACCTTACCATTGCTGTCAAGAAACCTCTCCGGCAGGAACTCTTCTGGCCTGTGCCAATCTGTTTGGTCAAAATGCATGGCATGAATATTGAAGAGAACGACTGTTCCTTTCGTGATATCAAAGCCATGGAGAGATGTATTGCAAAGAGTCGAATGTGGTAGGATCACGCCATCTGATGGCCTGAATCGGAGAGTCTCCAAGAGAACGGCATCAGAAAAGGGCAAACGGGGGCGGTCCTGCCAACCTGGACGTTGGTCACTGCTTACAACTGAATGTATCTCCTTTCTAACTCTCTGTTGGATATCTGGGTACACTGCCATCAGACATAATGCTTCTACAAGGACATTAAGAGGAGCAAATGTAGCACCGCCAAATATCGCATTTATTGACAGAAAAACCCCTTTTGATACAGTTTCTGGAACATTTTCTGAAATGTCCTCACAGGTTTTACCGAGCTGATATGCAAAGCATTCACAATGTCCCGACGTGTTAATCAATTGGTTCATTTTTCTGACATGGTATTCACTAATGCGTTTGAAGCAAGCACGCAAGTTCCTTTCATATGTTGGGAGAAAGTATGAAATCCATGGCAAGAAGTTGATAAAGTGAAACAAGTTTTTTCCAGTGGGAAATATTGGACTATTTTCATATAACTCGATGCTATACAGAAAGTCGCGATTGGTATGAATGTTTGTCGATCTTCCATAGCAGACTTGGTAGATGATACTAAACACTGATCTTCTTAGATCTTTGAAGAGATGGAAAGAAGTAGCTGGACTAACCATTGATTCAAAGTGTTCCACTTCACTGCTGATTATTTGTTCGATGGTGCTTCTGGAAGATTGGATATACCTGTTCCAAACTGGTAATAATGTTTTGTGTTGCAACTTCCAGAACTCATCAAATGGATGGAATGAGTAAGTTGCATTCTTCGGCAAGATACTTAGAAGTTTTAAGCGTGGCTTGTCTGCAAAATCATCTCCCTTCCCTACGAGAGCTTCTTTGGCTAGTTGTCTGGAGTTGATCACAATGACTTCACTCATCCCAAGCGACAGACGGAATACAGGACCATACTTATTGCCCAGTCGTGTCAGTGTTAAATGAGCCTTCTCTCCCAGGAAGGGGTAATATCCCACTAGAGGAAGACACCAGGGGCCAGGCAGCACGTTTATTCCAGAACCCATGCAGAACTTCCTGTAGATGTAGATGAAAAGGCAGGTGAAAAATAACGTAGGGAAGTTGAAGACCGTTGCAAGACAGTTTTCCAACTTGTGAACCTCTTCAGACATTCTACTGCTTCAGGCCAGGCCGACAACTGAAAAACACTTGATGCTTTTGCTGCTGGTGGACACAAACTGAAGTCGCTGGTGCAAGGAAATCCCTACGTTCAATAAACATTCAATTTTGATGTTCGGTATTTGTTAAATGCATCAGATGGTTTAATATAAGATAGCTCAGTGTCACATCTGGTATATTCTCTGGTGCCAATGTTATGGCAGATGATGAATACACAGACCCTATCTACGTGATAAGTAACGGACGAATGCAGATTGCAATCAACATACTGCTTCAAAATCATGGTGATTCAGCTGTGGATCAGGTCCACTGTCCACGGCTGTAATAATCTCAGAGCTGTTTATTCTTCATGTTTATATAACGATTTTATAACTGGAGGCTTTGCTTATGTAGGCGAGATATTAAACAGAATATTTTCGCTGCAACCATGCACACGGCAAGATGAAAGAAGTACTTTGTTTGTGTTGTAGAGTATGCATGGAAGTCCAATCACGAATGTTTCATTGTATTCCGACGCGTTTGGAATATTCGTACGTGTGTTTTTGCTTGGTCTATTCAGATTATACTTCAATAACAAAGTGTTCTCCCACATATACCATTTCGCCATCACCAAGGTTTGTAGAAGAGCACGGTAAACAGACATACAGATTTTAGGAGTATGATCCTGGTGACGTTAACACTAAAGGTATATTGATAATCTTACACCGCATGAATACTTTTTGGGGTCATGTTTTAGTTATGAAACAGAGATAGATGATTAGACATGTGATACACAGATACATGTTTAGTTATCTGACACACATAAACATGTTTAGTCATGTGACACATATATACATGTTTAGTCACGTGATACACAGATAGATGTATAGTTATGTGATACATAGATACATGTTTAGTTATGTGACACACATATACATGTTAAGTCATGTGACACATATATACATATTTAGTCATGAGACACATAGATAGATGTTTAGTCATGTGACACATATATAGATGTTTAGTCATGTGACACATATATACATGTTTAGTCATGTGACACATAGATAGATGTTTAGTCATGTGATACACAGATAGATATTTAGTTATGTGATACATAGATGCATGTTTAGTCATGTGATACACAGATAGATGTTTAGTTATGTGATACATAGATGCATGCCTAGTCATGTGACACACAGAGAGATGTTTAGCTATGTGACACACATATACATGTTCAGTCATGTGACACATATATACATGTTTAAATATGTGACACATAGATAGATGTTTAGTCATGTGATACACAGATAGATGATTAGACATGTGATACACAGATACATGTTTAGTTATCTGACACACATAAACATGTTTAGTCATGTGACACATATATACATGTTTAGTCATGAGACACATATATACATGTTTAGTCATGTGACACATATATACATGTTTAGTCATGTGACACATATATACATGTTTAGTCACGTGATACACAGATATTTGTTTAGTCACGTGATACACAGATACATGTTTAGTTATGTGACACACATATACATGTTAAGTCATGTGACACACATATACATATTTAGTCATGTGACACATTGATAAATGTTTAGTTATGTGATACACAGATACATGTTTAGTTATGTGACACACATATACATGTTTAGTCATGTGACACATATATACATGTTTAGTCATGTGACACATAAAGAGATGTTTAGTCATGTGATACACAGATAGATATTTAGTTATGTGATACATAGATGCATGTTTAGTCATGTAATACACAGATAAATGTTTAGTTATGTGATACATAGATGCATGCTTAGTCATGTGACACACAGAGAGATGTTTAGTTATGTGACACGCATATACATGTTTAGTCATGTGACACATACATACATGTTTAAATATGTGACACATAGATAGATGTTGAGTCATGTGATACACAGATATATGTTTAGTCATGTGATACACAGATAGATGTTTTAGTCATGTGATACATAGATACACGTGTCATGTGATACTTTGATATAATATCCCGTTTTGAGATATGAGAAGAAAATGCGATTTCATTCACATAACAGTTTGATTCGTTTATTAAGACAGTTGTAGAATTGACCAAACAGCCCCCGATACCATTCCTAGCTTCCATTTGGTGGATGCTACAGGTAGAATTCAGAAATGTTTTTATTTTTGTTTCTCCTTGTCGGAGAGAAAGCCCTGGGGACACTTCTCTAGCAAGGTCTCGAAGAACTCTGCCATGTCGGAAGTTGACTCTGTGTATGTCTCGGAGCTGCTCCGGATTCGTGTATATCTGGCTTGCGATATGTGGTACTTCCTCTTCCCGAAATAAGTACGTTGCTTGTAGTTGTGGAATATGCATGGAAGTCCAATCACGAATGTTTCATTGTATTTTGACACAAGTGAAATATTCGTACTTGTGTTTTTTCTTGTTCTTTTTCAGATTGAAATATCACCTTTATGTTGGTTGTTATGTGGCAGTGTCATTCAATGGAAATTGTGTTGCTTCTGGAAAAGCTAAATTAATATGATGCATTAGAGAGCCCCTGGAGGTTTTTATTACATTATGTACAGGGGCACGTGCTTGGCATCTTTCACATTACATCAAAATCAGCAATTGAGTGAAGATCACTTTTCACCCTGGAAACCAAGCCTAAGCCTATTTTGGAAGCATGGGCACTGCTGCTGAAGAGTGAGTGAGTGAGTTTAGTTTAACGCCGCCTTTAGCAACATTCCGTCTATATCACGACGGGGGACACGAGAAATGGTCTTCACACATTGTACCCATGTGAGGAGTCGAACCCGGGTCTTCAGCGTGACGAGCGAACACTTTAACCACTAGGCTACCCCACCGCCCCTACTGCTGATGGTAGGTGCATATTATCGTTAAGGTTGCTGTGTGTTTATTCCCAAGTTCATCTAAAAGTTAACCGGGAATCTGTCCTTAAAATATATATGTGAAAAATTAACAAATAAGGAAATGTGTGTAACTAAAAATTGTATTCTAAAATTAACTAATTAAAACCTCAATACAAATTGAATACAAAGGTATCACTTTGACAGTACATAATCAGAGGCAGTATGATACAAGAGCAGTGAGTATTGCAATAAAGACAGTGATGGTAGTATCTACCTCTCAGTAACAGTAACCCAACTTACAACTTGGTGAAGGCAGGGTATGATCATCACACACATGTTGGTCCTCTGGTGACTTGATATGTTATGTGAGATGAGAGGCAATAGCTATGCCCCCTTATATACCCAATAACATTTGCTGAAACAATCTAAAATAGTCTGTGTATCTGTGCCTAGTACATTCCAACCCTCTGTCTAAATATATTACAAGACCGAATATAGCCTTCCATTCCCTCTCACTGACTCTACAGGTACAATGTATAACAGGTGAAACTCTTTTGCACAACATACCCGTGAAGATCCGGGTTAGAATTGATCTTCAGTAACCCATGCCTGTCGTGCTTCAGGGTCTGTACGACAGACTAGCTTACAAGTGTTAACAAATAAGATGTACTACTTAATGAACATATTATTTATGGTACCAAGCGCTTATTAGTGATCCCAATAGTATCCTGTCACATTAAACTGTTGCCTCGAGGTCAACACGACGTAGAGTTATCATGTCACGTTATCAGGAAAGTGTTGGTTCGCGGTCATAGTGACCAAGAAGATAGCTGGGGTTCAAACCTGGTATATACAATAGCGGAGAGAGATAAGGGCCTGATAATGATGCTTTACAGAGTCTCTTGTTGGCCTTGATCTACTGTATATACTACTCCAAATGTCATCAAAAATAGATAAGAGCGTCTCTAAACATGATTCAGATAAGTGTTTCAGGAGTTGATAATGTATACCATCAGCTCCTGAAGCAGTATCGTGAGCTTGGTCAAGAGCAGTATGAAGCTCATGTATCGAAAATGTTTCATTGTAATCTTCCCCATTGTCTGAAGTGAAATTGATAGATTTCTTTTCTTGCTGTCTTTGATATTTCGGGAATTCAGGTACATAGTTAGATGGGGAAGAATGTTTGGCCAAAGTTTCCCCAAGTTTATTGGCTATGTCAGATTTATCATCTCCATCTTTGAGATGCTTAATGCTAGATTTAGAGCCCTTACCTTTGATTTTTGGATCATATTCCAGACTTTAGACATCGTCGTATGCGAATTAATGCTTGATACATAATTTTGCCAAGATTGGCGTTTACTTTGTTTAAATGTTCGCCTTGCTTTAGCATTTAAAATCTTAAATTTATTCAAATTATGCACCATGGGGTGTCGATGGAAATAATGTTCTGCCTTTTTCCGTTCCTTTCTAGCTTGTTTGCATTTATCAGTGAACCATGGTTTGCGAATATGTGGAATTGGAGAGGACTTTGGTATACACTCGTCAGCTATGATATTCAGTTCATTAGAAAAGTAATTTATAGCATCAGGAACATCAACGAAAAGTTCAGGTTTAAGTTTGGTAGCACAGAGAGTTTCATATAAAGGCCAGTTAGCCTTTTTAAAATTCCATCGTGATGATGGAAGAACATCAGATGGGTTTATAGGTTTGAGGACTGTGGGGAAATGGTCACTTCCACAAAGGTCGTCATGGACTGACCATTCAAACTCACTCAGTAGATTAGTGTCAGTAATAGACAAATCAAGAGCTGAATAAGTTCCTGTGCCAGGGTGTAAATATGTGTTTGAACAATCATTATATATGCATAAATCATTGTTGGAAATAAACTCCTCCAGTATTTTACCTTTAGCGTTTATAGTTGAACCACCCCAGAGTGGGTTGTGGCCATTAAAGTCACCCATAATAATACAGGGTTTCGGAAGTTGATTGTAAAGGGATTGAATATCAGCCAGCTGAAGAGCTGAAGATGGCGGAATATATAGCGAGCAGAGAGTAAAAGAAACGTGCAGAGTAATGCGTACTGCAACGGCTTGAAGATTAGTTTTAAGTAAAACAGGGCTTTGGA